GGAGCACTCCCTTAACAAAGTTTTCACTCAAGAAAATGTATAGGGATATGTTCACACAAGGGAAGTAAGTCAGGCTTATAGTGGAGTTTGTTAATTATATTTCATGCTTACACCATATTTTTGCAGAAATATATTAGATGTCCAAGCTATTAAAAGAAAATAAATATATCCTTAGGAGAAATTCACTAACCTCAACCCTATTTTCTAAGCTTGTAGACACGAATCCACTACAAAAAATTTCTTCTTAGATGTCCAAAAGCTCTAACCAACTCAGCTCATTCCTAGATTTGCTTTGATATCAAGAATGATGGAGGCGGGTGGTCTTTTGATGAGATAAAGTATTAAAATTTGCTATTGATATTTGGTGTTAGGTTTAAAGATATAAAGTGGAGGTTTGGTGGGATTTTAAAATACATATGAGTGAATGGTGGCTAAAATTCCAAGGCTAGTTTGGCTTTGTTTAGTTTGGGCTGATTTGAAATATCTCTTTGGAAAAGTGACTTAAGAATGGGTCAAATGACTTGAAATGATTATTGGTGGTTAGCTTAGGATAAGTACTTATGATTTGGAGTAGATGAGTGATTTTGGATGGGTTTACAATGCTGTTTAGAGTTAGGAAGTATGACTAGGTCTTAATATGCTCTTGTTTGGGCAAGAGTTATGAAAATGAGTTTGGAATTGTTATGAGGTTTTGGTTGTTGATTTGTTGATATTATAAGAAGCTTGGGACGTGGATGAAGTGTCGTGAAGAGTTTAAGATCATGTGTTTTGGAGAATAATGAATAACTTAAAAGAAAAAGAAAGATAAATATCTAATCTCACCAAAGAAAAAGTAACACTTGAAACAACAAAGCACCAAACAACAAGAGAGAAAATTCTAGCCAAAAATTTCATTCAACAACCGAACCAAATTTTTACATATTGCTCCTATTTATGAATTACGATGATAAAAAGTCGATAGAAGGAGGAACCTTTAGAGGGTGTTGGTTGGCCATTAATGAAGGAAGGTGCAACCACCTTCCTGATTTATTTATTTTTAGTACCAGCCATAAAAGCCTCCAAATTTTAAAATTTAAACATTCTAGAGGGTAAAATTGAAATATAAATAATGAAATACAAATTTAAATATTTCTTGTTGATATGACTCTTGTGATGGGCCTTGAATGGGCCATTAATTGTGCGTTTTCTTGGGCTCTTGTAAATGGATCTTTGACTTCATTTAGATGATGTGCTACATCACTTACTCTCCAACCTACAACTTCATTAATTTCAACTTTATCTAACCGACCATTTCATGTAATCCTAACTAGAACTACATTTTCAAGTTCATGGCGAGGGTAATTAAATCGTAATATACTGAACGATTTTGTGGTGAGCTTATATGAGCTAAATGAGAGCTTTTATTTATTTGAGTGATTTATTCTTTGTTATGTTGGGTTAGCGAGTTACTTTTGGATTAGTGACTGTTCCCTTTATCATGATTCAGCGAGTGCTCATAGTTTGTTGGGACGAATCCCAATCTCTTGTAATTTTTTCAGTTCTGCTTTTCATTTTTTTTTTCCCGCTAGATTACACTATACTTGCAATCAACATTGGCACCTTTTAATCCAGGTCTTTGGCCTTATGCGTATACTTGAAATGAGGTGATTCAATTTTTTTTTCCTCAAGTTAAAGTGATTATTTAGTAGTGTTTTGAGTTCGAAGCATTGTTATGGCATCTAATCTAACTAGTCATTGTTTATGGTTGCTCCCTGTTATTTCTGTTTTTTGCTAGCATGGCCGCACTGCTCCTTTATTATTGAATTGTAACAGATTTTTCTCGCTAAAAAATGTGTTGGTGCTAACGCATGCGTTCTATAGTATTGCTCAGAATAGATACTATTTTATGGAACTATCCTATTGAACGGGCAATGGAAAACTTCTGAATTTAAGGCACCATGGTGTTTTCCTGCTGGATTGTGATGATGTTTTTGTTGTCCTCTGTATAACAATCATTGCGGATGTGGTTTATTTGGTTCTGATTGTTGGGTGTTTGTGCCTATTGCAGGCTATGTCCTCAAATATATCTACTTATGCTGTAGCTTCTAAGTTTATAAAATGGCCTTAATTAACTCATTATGGAGATGGTAGTTATCAATTTAACTTGGGAATGTTAGTGGCTTCTTTCCCAGAGAAGATATAATACTAAATTTATGTAGTGGCATAATTAGAAGAACCATTATTAGTATCTATTGACTATTTTGGAAATAATGTATTTTAGAGGTCAAAACTATCTGAATTATGTATTTTGGAAATAATGTATTTTAGAGGTCAAATAATGAATGGGACGGCTTACCGGATGGTGACATTTGTTGTTCCTCCTTGAATATAATTTGCATGGTATAACTGAGGCATGAATACGATGAAGCTAGCCTTGAGGGTTGGTTGACCTCGTCTTGTTGATCTCATAACACTATTTTTGGCCTTCTTGTCATTGAATGATTTTAGTGCTATCATTGCTTTGATGAATTTGTTGCTCCTGGGCGACGTAATGACTAAGTTCAGTAATTTTTTCTTTGCTGATTAACTGCTAGAAGGTTTAAGTTTAATGTTAGTAACACAGAAGTACGTGCCGGACTTGTCACTCTTCAAAGAAGTGTGAAAATTTTAAGTGTATGGAAGGCTTACTACTCTTATGTGTATTAATTTCATACTGGTTAGCTATTGAAGGTTTCTAGATTAGAGGACTAAATTTAATGATGGATTAGCGCTAAAGAAAATCATTCATGCGAATATTGTTGATTGTATTGAACATTGCATAAAGTAAATCTCTTGAAAATTGATAAAGATGATCTGGCGGGTCATTCTTCATTTCTCCATGATTTTGAATTAGAGTATGCATCTATATGTTCTGTTAGTGCTCAAGGGCATGGTTCAATTTATGTCATTTCAATGGGAGTCTCAGTGGGAAATTTGACTCTATATACTTCATAATACACATAATTAGTCAAATATTTATATTATTTATTCTCTCGTTGAAATATGCTTAAAATTTTACTTCGGACTAAAAGACCTCTATTATACAAAAAATAGTCATAACTTATGATTGAAGGGATAGGTGATCTTCGAACCGTAGCGATGCTCAAATGTCCCTTTTAGCATCTTCTATTCATCGCAATAAGTTTGCAAATGAACCAGGTTGCATCAAGTAGGTGCTTGTTTGAGCTTGAGCTTGTTTATTCATAACTTGTTCGAGCTTGGCTCGAGCACAAGCTCATTTATTAGTACTCAACTTATGCTAGGATAGAGCTTAATTCATATAAGGATTATCAAACTTATTAACGAGCAATTCATTTAACAAAATAAACTAGCTATAATTAATCCTTAATCAAGCCTTACACAAGCTTTATATGAGTAGCTTATTTTAAAATAAATATGACATATCAAACTAAGCTTGTTGAGTCTAGAAATTAACAATTGAACTACTCACGAATGAGCCTTAATAGAGCCTTACTCAAGATTTTTTAATCAGCTTATTCATAAGTTTTAACTGATACTTTTCATGACATGAATGAATGAAACAACAAGATGTTTAAGTTTGTTCATTTAACCATTAAGTATTTATGAAAGTGTTCAAGCTTGTTTGATTAGTTGATCAAATAATCATAAACGAGCTCTAATCCAGCGGAGTAACTATTAGCTTTGCAAACATTTGATTTATTTGCCGCTCTACATGGTGATCTTACAGCTTTTGTGATTGCTCTATTGTAGAATTTTGTAGCTTCTATGTTTCAACCATCATCTGTACAAGTTAATGATTTTATAACTTTGCTTATTGAAATTTGTGACGTCTTTATTAATGACAGTTGTTGGTTTTTACGAGCTGTGGCTATGAAATCGTAGGTTATAATGAGATTTGGTAACATATAGAGCTGGGATTGTGATAGATAAAATTATTAAATAGTTTTATGCTTTTGATCATCTTAGAAATGCTAAAGAAATTCAAGTGTTAATGATAAAATGAAGGTTTAGGATTCTACATTTTTCAAGATGTGATGATAGATTTGGGCACTTAAGAGTAATATATTTCTCTCTAAAGTACAATGTTGAATTGAAAACAACTTACTTGATCAATAGAAAGTGTTGGAAACACTCGCCTGAGACATGTAAGGGGAATTCAATTGTTGTGTTATGTATGTTATGATTGTATTCTGTTATGTCAAAATTATTATCTACTGTGTTACGACCATTGTGAATATACTCTTCTATATTAAAGTTATATTCTACCATGTTTTAGCTCTTGTGATTGCATTTTGGTGTATCAAACCACGCTCTATTATGTTGTAATTATTATGATTGTACTTTATTATGTTATACTCTATTATTGCTTGTTTGAAGCCTTTTCAAATTATTTCAAATAAGATTTGAGCATGGTTCAAACGCTACTTATCCAGGTTCTTGTGGGGTTTAAATATTATTTTATTCTTGTTTGCATGTTGGATTTTTTATTTGGAATGGTATAGAAGTTCTCCTGTAATTGATATACTTTTTTGAAAGAGATTGTTGCATAAATATAGATTTATCTTATACAATGAAATTGCTACTAAATGGTCAAAATAATTTTGATCATTATTTACATCTAAGGCCTGTTTGGGATGACTTTTATATTTTATTTTATATTATTTTATTAATATTTTGTGTTGTTCATGTTTTGATTTGACTTGAAGCATGTTTAGTTGTGTTAGTTGTTTTTAAAAAATTCAATAACATCTTTTAGGTGTTTTGAGTGTTTTTAAAATAACTCGTGCTAACAAGTTGATTTGTTTTTTTAAAAATAAAAAATAAAAAAACATATAAAAATTATACTAATCAAATATGTTTTAAAAAAACAAAAGTTAAACGAAAGCACTAACAAAAAATAAGAGTAATGCCGAAGGGGGCCCTAGTATCCGTCACCATCTTTATAACTTGCATTATTATCAGCCCTGAAGTTTTTTTCTGATGTGAACTTATACTTTCAGGCAGCTGAAGAGAAGAGAAGCTGAAGAAAGAAAGTCGAATGAGAGAAAATTTGACAAGAGGTCATGACCAGATTTATTTCATTTGTTAATCCGAAGGTCACCCATATTGATGCACCGTCGCTCTCATAGCGAATGTAATGTCCTCAACTCAGGGGTGCATTTTCTATTTATTTTCAGTATATATAATAATCTAAGAATATTTTCCTTGCCTGATTCTGTATAATTTTTGTAATATCTGTAAGCAATTCATTTCAAGAAGCCACTGCAGAAGTGTTGAGCCACTTGAGCTCATTGGTTTTTGTGACACCAGAACTGCAGTTGGGCCTGTTAGGAAGGGATACTCTATCGGCCTCCAGTACAAGATGATGGTTGCATATTATGCTAGTTAATATAAGGTTAGTAAATTTCTTTTTGCTTCTAAGATGCTACAAGGCTTCATCCTTTTTTAGGGGGTATTTGCATACATACATCCAATTCCTATGTATTTACATATCTAACGCCTTAACGTTACATTTTACATTTATACCACCCAATCTCTCATATCATATATAAAAAATACCAGCATTTTAACTTTTAAAAAGTGAAATACACCTTTTCATGCATACATGTAAAATGTAAAGTTTAGGTTTTAGATATGTAAATACATAAGAATTAAGTGTTACTTATATAAATCTTCCTTTTCTGTATTATTATTATTCTCATATAAGATGATATACTGTATAGTGACATTATGGCGTTGGAATCCAACAATATGTTACTATTTTTCTTCCCATTGTTCATTTGTTTGAGTTAGTCACTAATCAAGGTGTTAATTAGAAATGGTTCTGGTAGAGGTGGTCGTGTAATTTGAAGTCTAGTTTATTAATTTGAACTTAAACTATGATGATACCTCGGTTCTTAAATGACAAATTTGGTTCCGCAAATTGCTTAAATTGTTGCCCTAGCAGACGAACACTTCATCAAATAAACTTTTCACTGGTATTTTTGGTATTTTCGATAATTTATGGGAGTCTTAAAGGAGTTGAAATCTTCGAATTTTACACTTCTGTTTGAGTAAATTGGATGCTGATACTGTGTTAAGAGTTTATATATTCGTTACGGTTTTGTACTATTTTTATTATGGATGTTTCTAGCATTAGGTTGGATGTCAATTCAACAGCAACATGGCTTATTTTTAATGTTACCTTGGCCTTTAAAGTACCTTGGGGGTTTTTGGCATTAAATTTTTTTTAGGAATAATTACATATATAGCAATCAAAATATTGTCATTTACAAAACTAGCACCTAAGTGGATTTTCGAACTGATGCATTTAGGCATGCCATAATCAAACATATAGGAATTTGATAAAAATGAAAAAAAAAAAATTGGTGTGTTTTTATTGTGAACTTTAAATTTGAGGGAATTTGAAATATGGATTTTGGTTTATAAATAACAATGTTTAAAGTCCCATGTGTATACTTGTCCATTTTTTAATTGCTTTTTTAAATTGATGCGCCAACATAATTTTTTGCTATTTTCAAAAATTAATTCATATTTGTTGCAGTGCGGCAGGTATAAAAAAAGTTGGATCACAGTAATGAACAATGAAATTGTGAAGCCTTTATTTATGAAATGAGCTCCCTAGTTTTAGATAAAGGGGCCATAAGATTACATATATATACCCCTATTAAAGTAGGGGTAGTAGGTGGGTGTTTTAGATAATGGGGATTTGTAAGGTTGGGAGCGTTGAAAGGCTTCCGACTCGATATATGATATGGATGACCATTGTTTTGGTAATCGGCTGAATGATGTGGACTGATTGCCAGAGATTTAGGTGCTTGTTATTGTCTGTCCGGTTCGAGTGAGGAAACTGCTGAACTGACTATGAGAGAATTTAGTTGGGATATCTCTTGAATAGGCTATCAATTATCCCCAAATATGTGGTTTGGCTGGTACCCGGATTGTATGAGCCGATCGATCGTAAGGTGGACCCTTGGATTTCTCCTCCCGGGCCCTTTTTACATCGCTTCCCTGGCGGTTGTGGGATCTCTCTAAGATGCATGTAGACATATTTTATATTTACATATTTAGTTCTCTGATTCTCTTGTTCCTTGAGAATCACGGTGCGACAAAGGCATGAGAATCTAAATTTCAAAAAAAATAATTGTATTTGTGATTATTAATTCTGTAATGATTGAGCTCTCCTTGAATTCAATGTCAGGGCCTCTATAAATAGGAAGGGAAGAAAAAAAGTATCGTATAATTATTATTTTTTATTTTCTTTTACGAGACTCAATTGGTCTTCATCTGCGGTCATGGCGAGCGATTGTCTTTCTAAGCTGGTCAAGTTTAGCGAGGCCTCAAAGGGGAGTGTAGGGCTCGGTTTTGAGAGCGAGCGTTGTAAAAAGCTACCTATTAAAGGAATGAAGCCTTCCGACCTAGGGGATTAGGTGGGGTTGTCAGACTCACTCCTGGACCGTTCTGATGAGAGGGCATAGATGAAAGAGAATGACTGCCAAGTGAAAGAATGCAAGGTGGTGGAATCAGACCGTCTAAAGAGAGGGCTCTCTAGCCTGTCTGCTTTTGTCCAGAGTCCAAGTCGGCTAGCAGAACTATTGAAGCCGAAATCTGTTGTTGTTTTGATACTGCGGGAGGTGTCGGGGTCAACCGCTCAATATGCCGCCTTAACCTTCCTCTAGTTGAGGTTTCTAGGGTTGCTGATCCTTCCCTTTCGGTGGAACAGAGGATTGGCGAGAGAGGATGCTCCTTCACGACCTTAGACCTGGATAGAATGATGGTTATGAAATACTCATCTTTATTATTATTAATTACTTTTATTTGTTTTTGGAAACATGTGCTCCACCATGTTTTTCTATAACAGGTCCATCTTCTGGAGACGCGATTGTTACTCCGCCCTCCGCCGAGCGAAATGCTGATCGAGCGGAGGACAACCGATGTACCAGAATTGTTCAGATCGATTGAGCACCTGCGTCACGAGATAGGTGTCCTTAGTCCGGGAGAACTATCTCCTTTAATCTCATGACGAGTGTCTCCCAATTGAATGATCGGGAGAGGTTGGTGAGTTTGATAGAAGAGGTAGCAATAATCTGTGTTCGGGAAGCTGCTCTCCAAGCGGAAGTGGCGCTTCTTTGGTCATAGACGTCGGTCGTCCAAGAGGCATTCTCGATCTCCCGGGTCCAAGCTGAAATAGATATAGGTTTAGGTTTGGTGGTGAGCTAGTGTACACGCGATCGGCTGTCTCAGCTAGGCTATGTTATGTCCGAGGCAGCTGATGATAATTTTATCAAATATTTTATTTCAGGTTGACCAATTGTAACCAGACAGTGAAAATGTAAATTTTTATTTATTAAATGAAATTAAAATTTTTTGTATCTCTTTATGTGTGTTTCATGTGACCTCCTTTCCGCGGTTTCATGTGGCGAATAACGTTGATGCCCCACATTACTCCAGCTTCCCCTAGATGCCTATAAGTTAGGATTAGTGGAATTGGAAATTTTGCTCTACTGTTCCTCTTTTTCCCTTTCCTGGTCTTCTATCCTTTCTCCTTTCGTTGTGTCCTTTCTCCGCATCTGACCGTCATGGCTCCCAAATATTTCTCAGAGCTCTTTGGTGCCAACCCTGTGGAGAGGGATCTGTTGTGTCCATGAATCAAGTCGAGGGCCTCCAGAGGTCGTATGTTTATGGATTCCCAGTTGTTCTTCAGGCAAATGAAAAGTTTGTGAAATTAACTGGCAATTTTGGGTAGGACTTGGTCTTTTATCTGGACCATTTTAAGTTCAGGCTGAGGCTGTCTCTTTGTCTCGAGCTTCGTGCTGTCTTCATGATATTCATCGTCTTTGTCTGATGGCAAGACATTCCGAGGTCGGTCGACCTCTTCTCCTACTTCTTTGGCTTCAAGGTCAATAAGGATGGGTATGTGGTCTTTTCATCTGGTTCCAAACTCCGACTCGTTGGGGTTTAGAGCAAGGTGAAGGACTGGAGGTCGAAATTTTTGGGCACCTTTAACCGAAAGAGTTGGGGGATCTCGGTACGTCTGGTATTGCACGAAGTGAATAAGTTGAAGACTCTCCCAACGTCTAGAAAGGTCTATGCGAACCTGGTCGAAGGCCGAGAGCCATCCTTATATCAGTACCTGGAGACGGCTTTAGTCAATTAGACCTTGTAGTTGGAGAAGTTCGACGATATGCCAACCGAGTTGTGGGACAAATTCGATGCCAAAGAAGAGGCGGGAAAAAAAGTTGCGGTTGCCTAGTTGGTCGTGATGAGATGAACCCTACTTTCAATTGCAGAGGTTGGTGGGTGTTGCCGGCTTTGGTAAGAGTACTTTCTCTTTCTTTCTTTTTTGAATAGTAAAATTGCTAAGGGAGGTTCTTCTAGGCCAAAGTCTTGATAAAGGAGGGGCGTTCCCGGATAGGGCGGTTGAGGGACATAAGCTACTCGACGTTAGTTTCCTCGACCCCCGCGAGGGATACTTGCATGTGAGCCCGAAGTCGAGTCTTGTGATCAAGCCGTTCCTCGCTGGGAGAGGAAAGGCAATGTGTGATCCAGCTCTAGCGGTCGTTTCGCCATGGTGGACACCAAGGAGGATTTGTATTCCGACACGCCAGTTGAAGAGGTATCTGATAATTCGTAGTACCCCTACCTCCTGGGAGATGTGGTCCACCCATGTAATTAGACATTGTGTTGAAGGGGATGGGGATGTCGTATTTGAGAGAAACTTTCGATCAATTCAGTTTGTTGGCCTGGTCGATCACACTTCACACT